CCTCGGCCTTCTTGCCCTGGTTCTGGGGCCCCTCGGCCTTCTTGCCCTGGTTCTGGGCCCCCTCGGCCTTCTTGCCCTGGTTCTGGGGCCCCTCGGCCTTCTTGCCCTGGTTCTGGGCCCCCTCGGCCTTCTTGCCCTGGTTCTGGGCCCCCTCGGCCTTCTTGCCCAGGTTCTGGGCCCCCTCGGCCCTCTTGCCCTGATTCTGAGCCCCCTCTGCTTTTCTGCCCTGAGCAGTGCCAGTAACTGGGGTACTAGCCTTGGCACCCACTGGGGGCACAGCTACCATGGGCACTTCCTTGGGAGCAGTTTCCAAGATGGCAGACTTTGAAGTGAGAACCTGGATGGAATTCACTACAGAACTGACTGCTGGTTCCACTTTTGCCACTTTTTTCTCCTTCTTCTTTTTGTCCTTAGGGGAGGAGGCTGGTTTCTCTTGGGGCATGGCTGGAACTGTGGCAATAGGTGCAATGACCACGGGGGGCTGAACTGGGGTTGGAGCCACAGCCATGGCAGGTGCCCGCACTGGCTCTCTGAAGAGGATGGTCACGTTGGGTGCCAACTCATGGTCAGGTATCTTCCCATTGGGTTTCTCTTCCTTTTTCTTGGTCTTTCCTTTCTTTTCCACTGTCTTCTCCTTCTTTTTCTTCTCTACTTTGTGGTGGTGAGTTTTCGCCATCTCCTTCCGCTGGTTGGCTAGGGCTTCTTCATACGATGTTTCCTTCATGGAGAAGGTCGACACCAGGAAGATGCCAATGGCAGAAACCACCATGAATCCGCCAAAGACCACAACCCCCAAGGTCTGAGTGTCGTAAATGTCCATTCTGGCTTGCTCCTTTCACCTGCCAAACACATACATAGACGTTACTTTTATAGAAACTGAGGCATTCGACAGTTTCTATTGCTTACCCCTACCACCAAATGAAGGTTCACAAATTTTTTCTTTCTGACTAATAAATTCAGAGAAGCAACAAACTCAGACCCTCCCTAATGTCACATGTTCTTACCTGCTCTTCTTTAGAAATGAGCCACTTTTATCCAAGATATTAGCAATCCCCTTAGTTCTGGGAAATGATGAAGCAACAGTTGAGAAATGGCAGAGTGCAGGTCTGCACTTAGAGCACACAACACCCAGGAGGCACAGAAGCCAAGATCCCATATCACGAAGCTGCCACCACAGGGACAGGGGAACAGGCACAGGCCAGAAGTGAGATGACAGTGAGTGGTAGAGACTGGCAAAAATGCCTCACCCAGAATGAAGGAACAGGCACCACCCAGCCAAAGCTAACTACACTGAGTAAAGAGATTTTTTGTGTTAGACTAGACATCTTCTCTTTTTCTTCTTTCAGCACAAAACTGAATGACCTCAACAATGTCAAGTAAGCCAACCCGAACATGATTACAGGCTTTTGGTCACATGCAGGTTGGCAAGCAGGCCCCCAACTCCTTGCCCCTACTCTGCCTCCCTTCTCCAACTACCCATAAACATCTTACCCAAGGTCAAAGATAAAAAACTATGAGTTACAATCTCAAAAGGCCATCAAGAATTCAGTGAGGGAAAACAACCTTAGCATCATAGCAATGACTCCTGAGGAGTTACAAAGCCTGCAATTTGCATCCTGGGCAAAAGAGGTAATAATTCTTAGGAGGCCCAGCAGACTCCAGGTTTGTAATTTCACATCTAAAGGCTGCACAGAGGGAGCGTAGGGCAATGTCATCAGGGCTGTTGCCAGACCATACACCCCCCAACCAAGAGAAGCCACACCACTCTTACTGCTTACGGACCCAGGTTCAGTCCAAAGAGTCAGAAGCAACTAGGTCCACACCCTCCTGGCCGACAGCCCAGGCTAAGTTCTGCTTCACTGAGGAACTCTAAGAGGTCCATCTGTATTTGGATACACTCAAGTTTGGTTTTCTTTTATAACTGTGATTTTATTATTAGTTGTGTTGAGGAGCAGTACAGACATTTCAATTTTGTACACAATTCTTTAATATATGTTCCAAAAAAATCTAAAAAGCCATTTATTATAATTTTTTTTTTTTTGAGACCTGATTCTCACTCTCTCATCCTGGGAAGAGTACTGTGGCATCATACCTCACAGTAACCTCCAACTCCTAGCTAACTTTTCTATTTTTAGTAGAGACAGGGTCTCGCTCTTGCTCAGGCTGGTCTTGAACTCCTGAGCTCAAGCAATCCTCCTGCCTTGGCCTCCCAGAGTGCTAGGATTACAGGCGAGAGCCAGTACACCTGGCGTATTTATTATAATTCTTTTTTTATTTGTTTTGAGACAGAGTCTCATTTATGTCTCCCTCGGTAGAGTGCTGTAGCATCACAGCTCACAGCAACCTCCAACTCTTGGGCTTAAACGATTCTCTTGCCTCAGCCTCCCAAGTAGCTAGGACTACAGGCGCCCACCACAAACCCCAGCTATTTTTTGTTGCAGTTGTCATTGTTGTTTAGTTGGCCTGGGCTGGTTTCAAAACTGTCAGCCTCGGTGTATGTGGCTGGTGTGTAACCACCGGGCTACAGGCACCGAGCCAATTGTAATTCTTTTTAAAATAATTACAGTGACTTTCCAGCTTAAAATGTGAGGGCAAATTTTCCGTAAGAGGATATCAAATACCAATACAGTCAAATGTTGATAACCTGTTACATAAGTCCCACCAATTCACAATTTATTACCATATATACTACACAAATTTTCAATCTTTTATAGCACATTAACAAAGTTATTAGGAAAACAGGACTACCATGACCAAAGATGTTACAGAGTGTAAGCAAATCTGATGGGTGAGCCATGATCAAGGAGTGGTTTTCTTCAGGAAATAATTCTACTAAAAAACAACCTGGGAAAAGAAGTAATTCAAAGCGTTTAAGACAGCAGGACTGAGACTCTATGTTGTCATTCAGGGCACTAATACAATCCTTGTATTACAGGATGTAAAAACTAGCCCCCAATCTATGGAATGTTGAGCTGACACCCAAGTCTCCATAATTCAATATCCCAATATCTGATTTTACCAAAAAATAACAACCAGTGAATGGTTTACTTGTCAAAAGCATTTACATTTTAAAATATGCAATAAGGTGGGATTCCCTCCTCCTAAAAATATTTCTATAGGCTCAGAGCCCATAGCACAGTGGTTACGGTGCCAGCCACATATACCAAGGGTGGTAGGTTCGAACCCAGCCCGAGCCAGCTAAACAATTGCAACCAAAAAATAGCCAAGTGTTGTGGTGGGCACCTGTAGTCCCAGCTACTTGGGAGGCTGAAGCAAGAGAATCACTCAAACTCAAGAGCTGGAGGATGCTGTGAGCTGTGACACCATAGCATTCTACCGAGGGCAACATAGTAAGACTCTGTCTCAAAAAAATAAATAAATCAATAAAAAAATATAAATAAAAATGTTTCTACAGCTACTAAAAAACTTGCTTGTACAAAACAGTTGATAAAGTTCCTCTGGGTCATCCAAGAAGGGAGCCAGGACACTGAGAAGATACGGCTTGTGGTACTAATCAGACTGGCTTCTTTCTCTGGTTTCATCAGCAGCTGGACTCTCCTGTTTTAGCTTCCCCATTTTGTGCAGGTGAACCTTTGCTTTCTTGGTCAGCCACTTCAGCCTGCTTTCCCTTTACAGCCCCTCTCCATTTTCGTTGCACTTTTTTTTTTTTTTGAGACAGAGTCTCACTGTGTTGCCCTGGGTAGAGGGCCATAGCATCACAGCTCACAGCAAACTCAAACTCTTGGACTTAAACGATTCTCTTGCCTCAGCCTCCCAAGTAGATAGGACTACAGGCGCCCGCCATAACACTTGGCTTTTTGTTGCAGTTATCACTGTTGTTTAGCTCACCTGGGCTGGGTTTGAATGCGAAAGCCTCAGTGTAGCACAGCACCCACTGTGCGATGGGTGCTGAGCCCGGTGCAGTTTTTTGTCTGATGATTTATCCTTGGCTGCTTCCTGTTTTGGCCTCATTTCCACTTCTGCAGGAGCAGATTTCGCTGACAACCTCACCAACCTCCTTCACTCCTCCGTGGGCTCTTCCTTCACTGAGCCTGCCCAGAGCTGACCTTCCCCTTGGGCATCCTGGCAGAGGGGAGGGTACATGCCAGGCACTTGCAGGCCAGGGCCCACTGACAGCCTTTGTGAAACTGGGCTGCTTGGGCACTGCCACTCCTCCCGCCCACTGAGCAGCAGTGGCAGTGGGAGAACCGCACACTTAACTTTTAACTAATGTTGATGCTCATCAATTCTCAGTCCCCTGAACTGGAGACAGTGAGAAACGGGGTCCCCCGTGGAAGATCACTGAAGGAAGCAGACATGAGTGTAAGAGGTGTGTGTAAAAGGAGGCGGCAGGGGTAGAGAAGAAGAAGAGCTCAGGCTTTGCCCAGCATTGCCCTCCAAAATCTCTTGACACTGTGGCAGGCTGGGTCCAAGCAGGTTGGTGGCTCAGAAGCTGAGATTTCTCTTCTTCTAGAAGTTGAGATTCCCACTCCTCTTGAATGGGTGTTGGGGAGGGAAGTAGAGTAGGAATTTCCAAACAACAATCATGAAGTCCAATTTTTAACACTGGGACATTTTAAAGAAGTGACTGTGAAGGGAGATTATTTTAAATGTCTCAGTATTATGTTCTAAGAAAAACCTCTCAATGCAGAACAAATGTATGGTCGTGCCACGCCGTTCTAGTAAGACCCTTGCAGGAAAAGAATTTAAAAGGCTCATGATGAAAACTTCCCAGCACATGCTCTCCATGGGGACAACTTCATCAGCTGCCTCTGTAATGCTCACTTCTCCCACAGACAGTCACCCCAGATTGGGTGGGATCAAGTCACAGCTTTTCATTCCGGTCATAAAACTGCTGCAAAATCTTAGGAGAGCTCCTGGAGACCTTCAAATCCTGTGCAAAGTGGCAATTATGTTTTCAAGTGATTCTGACCTCTGGCCATGGGCAATGATAATGTGATCCACAGCCAGGGGGCTCTCCCATATGACAATCAAGGGACACTGTCACCAATGAACCTTTTCAAACAAACAAGCAAACAAAAAAAAGAACCTTTCTAGGAACATACTCCCAAGTTAGGTGCTGGAAAGAAAAGTGTATTAGATAGATTCAGTGGGCAGGAGGATGGGGACAAGAAGGTTTAGAACATTGTATGGTCAACCCATTTCTTGGTAGGCATCCATCAACTGAAACTCTTCTGGGTACTCACAAGGTCTTTTCAAAAGTCTGCCAAGACTGACATGTTCAGGTACAAAAACTACATCATAATCAATACATTCAGTCTATCCAGATGACAAAAGCCTCTAAGCACACCTCTTCTCCAGGAGACTAATAGTAGGGGCCTGGGTCACCCTGGCTGAGGTTTTATAAACCCCAAGCAACTCCCCAACAACTACGTGCTCAAGGGGTTGGCCCTCCTATGGGCTGCAGCTGGCACAGGTCACCAGACCCTGACGCAGTGACCAGCCATCTACAAAGCAGGGCCTGTTCGCCGTCACAGACTGTAGAGCTCTGTGTAGCCTTGTGGTTTCCAACTTCGAAACTCTGGCATAAAAGCCCAGTTTGGAAAATTAAGCTTTAATCTTATTCAACACAGGCAAACATGGGATACAAAAACATATTCTCTGTTAGGAGCACAGACTCAATAAACGCGAACTTAGGAGAATATTTTTCCTCCGCAGAACACAAAAATGTATGCTTCAGAGCAGCATAAATGTGTCTTCCCAACTTTTGCAGAATGGGTTGCTTTAAAAAGAAATTACAACCCTACCACTAATTCCCAAGTTAGAATTTTTTTTAAAGAAATCTTTCGCAGGAAAATGAAGAGCCCTTGTCTTAAGT